TGTAGACAGGCTTTTCAACAACCCATTCTTCAGTTGAAGTGGGCAAATTTTCTTCGTAAGTAGTTCAGGCCTCAAATTAGACAATGTCCATGCTGATTGCTAGAGTTGAAACGGTTAATCAGTTAACTGATTAGTAGTATTTCACGGGTAACCGGGTCTGATTTGAGATAATCGGTTAACTGTCAATTTTATCAGAAGTAAAAAGAGACCAGTACCGGTACACTGATTCGCGGCGATTTCAATGAGATACACACATAACACTGACTCTACAACTGGTATAAAAGCCTTTGATCTGTTAGAGACTGTAGCAATGAGTGACAATGGCACCAGTCCGTCTGAACTCTGTCAGGCCCGCTCGTAATCTTACATTGAAGCAGACGCTTCAATGGGTTGTTTGGTATCTGTCGATTTGTACCGACAATTCGCGGGGAACTAGCCAAAATCTTCCTGGGTACTCATTTACATTTACTCTAGTTAGTTAATGGTGAGTTACTGCCACAAATGCGGTTTTTGACCAGTGGCGGAGCTAAAGGGGGGACAGAGGGGGCAGCTGCCCCTCCTCGCAGCCCCGAAAGCAAGTTTTTCAGGCAAAAATCTCATAACTAAATTAGAAATTCGGGCAATATCCGATATGTCGTCCCCTTAGGGACGTAAACCTGGCTCCGCCACTGTTTTTGACCCTTTTTATAATCTTTAGTAATTAACCGGGACTAACGGGGTAACAAACGGTTATTGCCGACGATTACCGGTTCGTAAAATTCACGAACTGTTTCGAGACTACTGATTGCTGACCGTTGTAGGAAAAAATTTTCAAAACGATTCTATTACTGAATTATGGATATTAAAATGACTAGGTTAGGTGATTCAGTTGTGTTTAAACTCAGAATATTGGGTGACAAAGAGCATCATGGGATGACTGAAAATTCTTCTCAAAATGTTGGCTTAATATTGGAAATATTATATTAAAAAATGACAGTCTTAGAGTTATATAATTGTCCAGCTATTTTAGCTATGTGCATCGCTTTTCAGAATGAAAATATGCGTTCAGTTTATCTACAAATGAATAAAAGTACTATCATAAGTGATACAGTTTAAGTATCTATGCTGATATTATCATTCCTTCATGCAGACTTTGTTGATATTATGACAATGTTGTGTTTTGTTTTCAGAGTGACAGAAAGTAATCAGCTAGCAGTTTTACATCCCCGAAAATTAGCAGTTTATAGCATCAAAGGTGAGGCCATATTATTTTATAATATCAATGTATGAAGACAACTTGGATTGTGTCATATGTGTGCAGGAAACAAAAGCACAAGATATGTTGGGTAATCCATTCTCCCATTGGACACAAATCTACAGGTTTTTGTTTACATAGCAACATTTTTTCTGTTTTTTCAATTACCATGGACTATCAAAACAAATAGTTAGATGACTGACTGTATCCCTTTTAAAAAGTATTACCTGGGAATTGGCCTTATATTTAATTGTTCTATCCACAGCTATATCAGGTACAGTAGAACATGGTCAACAATATCAGATACAACTCTTATATGAACACAACCTCCAGAGAACAACTTATAATTTCTGTTACGGACCATTCGGTGGGGTGAAAGGTCAGTAACCTACAGACCTTCATGTTTTAATTGACTAGAGCATCTCATGTTTTAGATATAATATCCTCATCAGGACAGCTGGTTTAAAAATTTGTGGTAGCATACCACTACAAGGACAGAAGTCTAAAAGTTATTACAGATATCCTGTTTGCTAGCTTGTCGATGGCTTTCAGCAAAACTGTCCTTTTTTGTACTCATTTATAGCTGGTTTGACTGAAATAATGAAGAAAGATATGCAATGTCAACAAGAATCGAAAAACATGTTCTTCTTGATTACAGGAAAAGATTTTATCTGCGTTCAGTCTATGGATGGAACGGTCTCCTTTTTTGAACAAGAAAGTTTTGCATTTTGCCGCTTTTTACCGGGGGCGTTATTGCCCGGTCCAATAAGTTATATACCAAGATTAGATAGTTTTGTCATTGTCTCTTCTTCATGGCAGGCAGAATCATACAAGTAAGCTTTTTTCTATCTTTCATTATTAGAGAGTTTTTGCCATAAATAGAGAGGCAGACACAACTAGCAAATACAGTTAAATTACAGTACATTGTTAATTTTTTTTCTAACTTGCTGGCTTGCTTGACTTACCCACATTTCACATGAAGATCAGAGTGGAGAACTTATTTTTTTGTGAAATTGATGCCAAATTTGTTGCTAGAGTTGATTCTTGTTAATTCCATTTACTTAAGTGTAGTCTGAACTTACTTACTTTTTCGAAAACCTAATGGTAAACCAATTGGAATTCTATGATGGTGATTATCAACTCGGCAACCATTGCTTGAGCTATTTTATTATTTTGTTGCAGATATCAATCCTTGGCATCTGCAGCAGAAAGTCCAGGTGTCAATGAAACACAAAATATCAAATCTGGCAAAAAAGTTGTGGTAAGTAAGGGTGTCAATGGCAAAGTCTGTTAGCAACTGGTTTTTCACAACTGAGAGAATCAGATCAGGTGCTCATGTTCTTCTCCTATTAAAATTTGATCCTCAAAAATCCAGTTAGCAGTTGGCCATTTTCCAGTTAAGAAATTTTCTGCTCATATTGACTGACCGCTTTGAATAGCGACGAAACCCCTTGTTTTATTTTTGACCAATCAGTGATAATGTTGCATCATTATTTATTTTGACCAATTAGAGATTGTCTTGCATAATGAAGGCGTCCTCTGAAGAGTTATTTTTGTGCCATATTTGAATTTGAAAGTTTAAATCCAAACTGATAATTTCAGGCTGACTGGACGTTTTCACTGGGAGAACCAGCTCTAGATATTTATGTTATGTCAGGGATTCAAACCTCACAGTGCTCAATTCTCATACTAGGTAAGTCAAAAAAAACTTCCATATTGTACAAGGATAACAACTAAGGTTCTGGAGAATCATGCCTACCCGCTGTTCCTTGGTCAAACATCAATATTGTACAAGCATAACAACTAAGGTTCTGGAGAATCATGCCTACCCGCTGTTCCTTGGTCAAACATCAATATTGTACAAGGATAACAACTAAGGTTCTGGAGAATCATGCCTACCCGCTGTTCCTTGGTCAAACATCAATATTGTACAAGGATAACAACTAAGGTTCTGGAGAATCCTGCCTACCGGCTGGTCCTTGGTCAAACATCAATATTGTACAAGGACGACAACTTACGTTCTTAAGGATCTTGTCTACCAGCTTATCCTTTATCAAACATTGCAGCATTAATCTTCCTCAGATGACCCGTTATCTTCCATGGATAATAACTGAGGTTCTAAAGGATCCTCTGGTATGGATTTTCTCCAAACTGCGTGGCATTGTTCTTTCCTTTGATTAGTTTTAATTAGAATAGTTAGTTTTAGTTTTTTAAGAGTAGTCAGACAATTCTTTGTTTTTCCAGGTGAAAGAAATATTTTCTGTCTCAGTGAAGGTGGAGTGTTAAAATATATGTCTAAAATGGAGTATGATCCGACTTGTTTCTGTCCCTATGCTTCATGTAAGTTGAATTTGTCCTTTTAGTTCCCTCTAGGTGACGCTCGCTTGGAGAGTTCTGATCAGGTTCCGTTTGTTTCAATTCTACCCCCAAACGGAAGTGAATATCGTGGGTGACCGGATATATGACGCGGAATTACCTTTTCGAGAAAATGCAAAAAAACTATTTGTACGCGTATTTTGTTAAAATCTTTTTAATTATTTTTTTTACCGCTATACGTGGTTTTCATTCTTGGAAAATATAAACCTCGTATAACAATTTGAGTTCTCCATATTGAACCAAAAACTCGTATAATAATACAGTATACAAGGTTTTTCATTTTCATCCGCAGAAAAGGAACATTGTAGCCCGTATAATAATATATTTTACGAGGTTTTAAATCTGACTGTTTATATACGTGTTATTTAATTAGTGCTTTTTGTTTACAATCAAGCTAAGAATACGAGGTTTTGATCACAAGATCCGCGCCTTTATGAGCTTTCGAACGGTACCAAAAAGTCAAAATGACCGAATATGGCATATACGAGGTTTCAAGCGGTCACCCACGATATGTCACATGTAGAACGCGTTCTGAACTCATTTCTAACTTGTTTTGATTGAGCGTTCTGTTGATTCCATAAATCTCAAACGTGCAGAACTTGTCGATCGAGCAGTCCACTTATGCACACATAGGAAAAAAATCTGGAGATTTACCTTGAAAAATCTGGAGATTGGGTGAAAAGTCGGGAGATTTTTCAGAAGCACGTAAATTCGTGAGATAAGATTTAAGCCTTGTAAATTAATTAAATTGATCATAGGCCTACAAAGAGCCGCGGTGGCTCAGTGAGTTAGACGCTTGCTCACTAACCCTGTCAGTGATGCAGGTGAGAGGAGCTGACATGGAAAAAGCGTCTAGTCGTTTGAATGGGACAATAAACCCATTCATCACATTCAACTATCTGAAATTTTTTGGTTAAGATTTGAATCTGTTTTTGGTTTAATTATAGTGGCAGAAGGGACGATAAATTATATGGTTGCCACGACAACCAATTCACTAATGGTATGCCAAGACGTCACTTTAAAATGGGCAGCGAAATTAGAACATGTTCCAGTTCAAATTAAAGTGGCAAATTTTCAGTAAGTTTCAATAAATCTGTGTTATCTTTTAATTTTACGAAAGACATCTTTAAATTCTATGGGTGCCAAAGTGGTTAAGTGTTATTGATTAATGATTTAATCTAGGATAAGATTTAGCCTCAGATATTTATTTTAACGGATTGTAAAGAGGTTTTCTAAATTTGTATGTGTATCAGGGACACTGATAGCATCAATTTGGTCCATTCCCATTTTCAATCAGACGTCTATAGTTCTTGCAATTCCACTTAAACTAAGTGTTTGATGGTGTCACAAATAGCAAAATATGAGTTATCATAGTGGAATTGCAGGAACAACAGATGTCTGATTGAAAATTGGAATGGTGCAGATTGATGCTAACAGTATCCCTGATACACATAAAAAATTTAGAAAACCTCTTAGCACTGACTTGCATGAAGAGCATAAAAGGTTTTTTTGTTCATTTTCAACATGCTAGGAATGACTAAAGCTGTCCTATATCAAGTTTTAGCAGCACCAAAAATTAGTTTGCATGTTTGAAAAACCAAAGATATTGAAAACCATTTTTTTTCAGAGATTTAAAAGGCTGTATAGTGACATTAAGTGATGATGGACATTTACAGTGTTCCTATCTTGGCACTGATCCTGCAATATTTATACCACCATCCACTGAAGCCAGAGAACTCAACTATCAGGCCATGGATCTGGAAATGTCCAAACTACAGAAGAAAATCCGGGAGAAAGCACACAAATCAGGTACCAAATATTTCGCTCTAGAATATTCTGATTTTTTGTCTTAAGCCCCTGTTCAGTGAGTTTTCAAAGCAAAATCCTCAAGGTGACAACAGGTTTAGAGTTTTTTAAAAGGGGTTGTTTTCTAGTTTTTTTTTTATGTGTATCAGGGGCCATTTATGACTTATCTGCATCATTGTAATGGAATGGAAATGCTTAACAGTATATGACATCAATATTACTTAAAGCTACTAATGATATCTAAGGGCTTTTACGATAGTGATGTCATAAAAGGCTAAAGCTAAGATTCCATATACGTGTCATGCGGATCCATTATGCGTCAACCGTCATGCGTTAAAAATCGAAATGGTTGGTTTAAAAGGGTATGATTCCATATACGTGTCATGCGGATCCATCATGCGTCAACCGTCATGCGTTAAAAATAAAAAAAAATCGCTGGGCATAGCGATTTTTGACGCATCCAGACGCCTTTCCGCGCGGAGATCTTCCAAATGTGACATATTTTGTGGGGATTCCCTGTCTTTTTTATGCACCAAAGCATCCATCTGTGCGTCAAAAGAAAGATAACGCATACGTTTGATGCTGGACAGATCCGCAAGGGTCATTTATGTCCGCATGACGCGTATATGGAATCTTAGCTTTAGTATAATGGAATAGCGAGACCAAAAGTCAACTGATTTGATATGAAATTGAAATGGTGCAAATTGATGATGTCCCGAATACTAATAATAAATTTAGAAAACCTCTATTCAATCCTTTTTAAATTTCCTAGATATTGGCATGGGAGAACTTAACATTGAAATAAAGTATTTTAAAGGGACAGGTTTGCCATCTGTTTGACCAATTGTATCTTAGTCTCAGACATGGGAATTTTTTTTAGCTAGGCCAATCAGTTATAGTGTTCACAGCTCACAAATTGACCCTTCAAATCCATATGTGTCCAGAATTCTCCGGCTTTGAAAGTTAAAAAGACGACTCTTCATTTCTTGTGTCTCTGCTATATATAGAAAACAAAAGAAACCGAAAGTTCAATTTCTAATTTGAGATATTTTTGAAACAATTATGCGATGTACGTTCATTTGTAACTTACTTCTGAAGACTATTTACATATATTCAAGACTCAAATCGACCCCCAAAAATGGCATACCTGTCCCTTTAAGGGCTATAACCTTTTATATTAAGAGTTTATTGTATATTTCAGTGATAACACCTAATTTAAAAACTGATGATGATTTACAGTTATCTGTACAAGCTAATCAACAACTTGATGATATCTCAGTGAGTATGATAAGAACATTAGATAGAGACAGGTTATTCTGTTACCCCTCTCCTGACAAAATTCCCTTCACAGTGGAACGTACACCTCCATTTCATTTCATTTCATTTTGTTCATTAAAGTACAGAAAATTAGGGCATTGAACTCCATTTCATTTCATTATCCCAATATAGTATAAACTCTATTTCATTTCATTAGTTCAATGAAATACAGAACAGTAGGATATAAAACTCTATTTCATTTCATTAGCTCAATAAGGTACAGAACAGTAGGATATAAAACTCTATTTCATTTCATTAGTTCAATAAGATATAGAACAGTAGGATATAAAGCTCCATTTCATTTCATTAACTCAATTAGGTACAGAACAGTAGGATATGAAACTCTATTTCATTTCATTAGCTCAATAAGGTACAGAACAGTAGGATATAAAACTCTATTTCATTTCATTAGTTCAATAAGATATAGAACAGTAGGATATAAAGCTCCATTTCATTTCATTAGCTCAATTAGGTACAGAACAGTAGGATATGAAACTCTATTTCATTTCATTAGCTCAATAAGGTACAGAACAGTAGGATATAAAACTCTATTTCATTTCATTAGTTCAATAAGATATAGAACAGTAGGATATAAAGCTCCATTTCATTTCATTAGCTCAATTAGGTACAGAACAGTAGGATATGAAACTCTATTTCATTTCATTAGCTCAATAAGATACAGAACAGTAGGATATGAAACTCTATTTCATTTCATTAGCTCAATAAGGTACAGAACAGTAGGATATAAAACTCCATTTCATTTCATTAGTTCAATAAGATATAGAACAGTAGGATATAAAGCTCCATTTCATTTCATTAGCTCAATTCATTAGGATATGAAACTCTATTTCATTTCATTAGCTCAATAAGATACAGAACAGTAGGATATGAAACTCTATTTCATTTCATTAGCTCAATAAGGTACAAAACAGTAGGATATGAAACTCTATTTCATTTCATTAGCTCAATAAGATACAGAACAGTAGGATATGAAACTCTATTTCATTTCATTAGCTCAATAAGGTACAGAACAGTAGGATATAAAACTCCATTTCATTTCATTAGTTCAATAAGATACAGAACAGTAGGATATAAAACACCATTTCATTTCATTAGATCAATAAGATACAGAACAGTAGGATATAAAACTCTATTTCATTTCATTAGTTCAATAAGATACAGAACAGTAGGATATAAAACTCCATTTCATTTCATTAGTTCAATAAGATACAGAACAGTAGGATATAAAACTCCATTTCATTAGTCCAATAAGATACAGAACAGTAGGATATAAAAATCCATTTTATTTCATTAGTTAAATAAGATACAGAACAGTAGGATATAAAACTCCATTTTATTAGTCCAATAAGATACAGAACAGTAGGATATAAAACTCCATTTCATTAGTCCAATAAGATACAGAACAGTAGGATATAAAACTCCATTTCATTTCATTAGTTAAATAAGATACAGAA